GCCGAGCCAGCCCGACTGCCCGGTTCAGCGGACCGGCAGTCCGGTCCAGACCGGTTCAGACCGGCTGGACCGGTTCAGTCAGTACTTGTCAATTTCAGTCCCGGTTTTCAGTGTCATTTTTCAGTTAAAATTTTGGGTTCAGTTCAGTTCAGTTAATTAGTATCAGTTCAGTTTCGTACTTAACCGGTTTCAGTTATACCGGATAAGTCCAAATATCATGTCAGGTTCAGTAGAGCATCTTAACATATTTATTCAGTTAAATTATCAGTCTGAGCATAGTCAGTAGTAATTGTTTATATTATTTCCAGTTTGATCAGGCATTAGCACTACCGTTCAGTTTCAGCAGTTCAGGTGGGGACTCAGACTAAGTACTACATTGTTTATAATTACGCTACCATGTTCGAGGTATGTATATTCAGTATCCGCTCGGAATGGTCGCCGGTCCATTCTGGGTTCTAGTGGCCTAATCTAACACTAGAGTGTGCACATGGTACGGTATTAGTTTGTGCCAGCAGATTGTGGTATTAGTTTGTGCCGACAGATATTCAGTTATCAGTTACGTGACTTATGTCGCGAGATCAGACCGGTATCAGATATCAGTTTCAGTTTCAGTTTCAGTTCAGTTATATATGCTTAGATCATGGTATTGTTATTATTTACAATGTTTACATTAGTATGAGTTTCTGCAGAGCACAAGTGTTTTAGTGCTCACGCCCCCACGCATTTCATGTTTTTTAGGTCGCAGGGTCGGAGACGAGGAGTGAGCGGGCGGGCTGTTCAGGATATTTGTGATTTATGTATATATGTTTTGCCACGCAGTTGTTTCCCCTAAAACTTTCAGTACTTACTTTCAGTTTTTGTTCCGACATTAGTCGGATAAGACATTATAACCGTTTCTATTTATCAGTTTAAAATTTTAACGGTTTTCAGAAAAATCAAGTTTTTCACGGTAGCATCCCGAATCAGTTTTCGCAAAAATTAATGTTTTATTTTTTATTCATAAAATATTGCAAAAATCGCGTACTCTGATAGTATTAAAAAGTCGGGATGTTACAATTGGTATCAGAGCACGTTTCTGCGTCTCTGAAAAGTTTCCAGTCAGTTTTCAGAAAAACCTGAACCGTCACGCTCACGCCTCGCCGACTCCAGGTAAGTGCTGATTCAGTTTTCAGTTATAAACATATTACTTTGTCTATGCTCAGAAATCAGTAATCAGACTTAGTTAAGATGCTCAAATCATATTTAGACTTTAGAGTTCAGATATAACTCTAGAATTCAGTATATTCAGGCATGACTTTAGAGATCAGTATACTCAGACATAACTCTAGACTTTAGTATCTTTTGTTATGACTCTAGAGTTCCTCAGGTTTCACGTTAGTATTTATCGGCTATTTTTGGCAACTCGTCAAGAGATCTGTGTGCCTTAGTAATCAGTCAAAATATTATCACGTGTTCAATAATTTGAACTTTCTCAATGTTCAGATGCCGCCACGTAGGGAACCCGATCATCCGGCTCCTACTCAGGCTACAATAGTCGCCCAGTTTCGCGACTATCATGCCGAAAAGTTCTCAGGGCAGGGAGATCCTCGCATAGTAGACGAGTGGATTCAGGGCCTGGAGTTTATCTTCGAGGTCATGGAGTGCCCTGAGAGATATCGCGTTGTTTGCGCTCAGCTTCAGCTCACCAGTGATGCAAGGCTCTGGTGGATCGCTTACTGGAGCATGCGTCCCGGCGAGAAGGCGGGATGTACGTGAGAGATGTTTAAGGAGTTAATCCGCAAGAAGTACTACCCCACATACTACCGAGCAGAGATGGTGCGTCAGTTTCTATCGCTCCAGCAGGGTACTCGTACTATTGACGAGTACGAGAGGGAGTTCACTACACTTGCAGCTTTCGTTCCTGATTTGGTCCGCACGGAGGCCCAGCGAGCACAGCGTTTCATTGATGGGCTTTACCCAGCAGTCCGTCATAACATCGTAGGCCACAAGACACAGACGTATGCACGTGCAGTTTCCATTGCTCAGGAGGTGGACGCCAGCATTAGGAGGAAGGCCGTCCGTGATCAGTTCCAGCCATCCGCCCCTGCTCAGTCATCTCCAGTTCCACCGATGCCAGCTCTACCATCTGCTCAGCCACCGAAGAATAACAAGAGGAAGGGGAAAGGTGCCCCGGCAGATAAGAGGACCCGACGGAGGCTACAACAGATCCCTCAGTGCCCGACATGCGGACGACTTCACCGAGGCGAGTGTCGCTTTGGTCAGGATGTATGCTACTACTGTCATGAGCCCGGACACTTCGCGAACCGTTGTCCGAAGAAGGCGCAGCAGCCTCAGCAGCCACAGCAGCCTCAGCAACCACCGCAGCAGCAGCAGCCTCGTCAGCAGGCTCAGAGGCCGCCTCAGCAGCAGCAGCAGAGGGGCAGACAGCAGGCCTGAGTTTATGCCGTCGATCAGGCAGAGGCCGAACAGCAGCCAGGTACCATGTCAGGGATGGTTGTTCTTAATAATGTTCCTGTGTTTGCTTTGTTCGATACTGGAGCGACACATTCTTTCATTTCACGACGATGTCTTGATGCCATCGGAGTTCGCGCTACTACTGCTATCGATCCTCTCGAGGTGAGTTTAGCCTCGGGACGAAAGATAGTGACTTCAGCTAAAGCATCAGATCTTAGCCTTTCCATCGGTGGCCGAGTATTGTCTACCGACGCGTTTGTTCTCGAGATGAGGGACTTCGACCTTATTCTCGGAATGGATTGGCTATCCTTTTATCATGCGGATATCAGATGCCATGACCAGGAGATTACTCTGTATCTTCCAGGAGACGAGTCGATTACTTTCTTCGGCTCCAGGAATCGTTCATTGCCTCATGTTGTTTCGATGGCGAAAGCCACTAAGTTTGCTGCGACGAGGCAATTGCCAGGGTTATCTGGTGAGCCTTGTCGATGATTCTCAGAAAGCACGCTCACCTCACGATGTTCCAGTTGTTCGTGAGTTTGTAGACGTGTTCCCAGATGAGCTTCCAGGAGGACCGCCTAACCGGCAGGTGGAGTTCTCTATCGATCTCATTCCAGGAGCCGGTCCAGTATCCAAAGCCCCGTACCGTATGGCGCCTAAGGAGTTGCAGGAGCTTAAGACTCAGATTCAGGAGCTGTTACGACTCGGTTTCATCCGACTGAGCGTGTCACCTTGGGGAGCACCCGTTCTCTTTTTTAAGAAGAAGGACGGATCCATGCGCATGTGTATCGACTATCGGGATCTTAACCGGTTGACGATCAAGAACAAGTATCCGCTTCCCAGGATCGACGACTTATTTGATCAGTTGAGGGGAGCCTATGTATTCTCAAAGATTGACTTACGATCAGGCTACCACCAGCTGAGGATTAAGGAGTCAGATATCGCTAAGACCTCTTTCAGGACTCGTTACGGCCATTACGAGTTCGTCGTTATGCCATTCGGTCTCAGCAATGCACCAACAGTTTTCATGGACCTCATGAATCGTATTTTTCATCCCTACCTCGATCAGTTCGTTATTGTCTTTATTGACGATATTCTTATCTACTCGAAGAGCCAGAAGGAGCACGAGGAGCATCTGAGGGTGGTTCTTGAAACCCTCAGACGAGAAAAGTTGTTTGCGAAATTCTCCAAGTGCGAGTTCTGGCTCCAGCGAGTATCCTTTCTGGGTCATGTGATTACTCAGGCAGGTATCGAGGTGGACCCTTCCAAGGTTTCAGCTGTTCAGAACTGGTCGACACCGAGGAGTCTGTCCGAGGTTCGCAGTTTTCTCGGTCTAGCTGGTTATTACCGCAGGTTTATCGAGGGCTTTTCCAAGATCGCCCTCCCATTATCCCAGCTGACGAGGAAGTCTGTGAGGTTCGAGTGGACTGACCGATGTGAGTCGAGCTTTCAGGAGCTCAAGAAGAGATTAACTTCAGCACCGGTGTTGACTATTTCCGATCCTTCTCGGAGTTTTACCATCTTCAGCGATGCTTTGAGACAGGGCTTGGGATGCGTCCTTATGCAGGATGGCCAGGTCGTCGCGTATGCTTCACGTCAGCTTAAGCCTCATGAGCAGAACTATCCGACGCACGACTTGGAGTTAGCCGCAGTCGTTCATACTCTCAAGATTTGGCGACACTATCTTTACGGCGGTCATTGCGAGATTTTCACAGATCATAAGAGCTTGCAGTATATCTTTACTCAGAAGGAGCTCAACATGAGACAGCGCCGTTGGTTAGAGCTCGTCAAGGATTACGACTGCTCGATTCAGTATCATCCGGGGAAGGCGAACGTCGTTGCTGATGCCCTTAGCCGAAAGGTGAGGGGTGACTTGACGTACGTCATTACTCAGCAGAGTCAGTTGATTTAGGAGTTTGCTCGGATGCAGCTTCAGGCGATTGATGCACTTCCTATGGCCGTTTCGGGGAGTGTTAGTACTAGTGTCACTGCCATGCAGATTCAGCCGACACTGAGAGAGAGAATCCGGCGAGAGAAGGCTTCTGACGAGTTCGTTCGTGTCATGGAGGCCAAGGTTCGCGCCGGAGGCGTCGAGGGTTTTCAGCTAGGTGCCGATGGTGCCCTAGAGTTCAGAGGCAGGATCGTGGTCCTGAAAGTCGAGGCGTTGCGGAAGGAGATTTTATCAGAGGCTCATACCGCACCCTATCTAGCCCATCCCGGGAACACGAAGATGTATCACGACCTGAAAGGGTCGTTCTGGTGGCGAGGCATGAAGAAGGACGTCGCCGAGTTTGTCAGAAGGTGTCTTACCTGTCAGCAAGTTAAGGCCGAACATCAGAGTCCGATTGGCCTCCTGTAGCCACTGCCGATTCCGAGGTGGAAGTGGGAGGAAGTCACGATGGATTTCGTTACGGGATTACCGAGGTCGTCTGAACATCACGACGCTATCTGGGTCGTGGTCGACAGGTTGACTAAGGTCGCGCATTTCTTACCCATTTCGATGAAGATGTCTCTGGACAAGTTGGCTGAGATATATACACGTGGGATCATCCGAATCCATGGAGTGCCCGTTACTATCGTATCAGACAGAGATCCCAGATTCGTCAGCAGATTCTGGCACAGCTTACACGAGGCAATGGGCTCGAAGCTTGAGTTCAGTTCAGCCTACCATCCGGAGACAGACGGTCAGTCAGAACGGACTATTCAGACGCTTGAGGATATGCTTCGCGCTTTAGTTGTTGACAGGGGTGCTAAGTGGGAGTCGTTGCTACCGTACGCCGAGTTCGCGTATAACAACAGCTACCATTCTTCTATTCAGATGGCTCCTTATGAGGCACTTTACGGTCGCAAGTGTCGTTCCCCTCTCTATTGGGACGACGTCGGAGAGCGACGAGTACTCGGTCCCAAGTTGATCGAGGAGACAACAGAACAGGTCGAGTTGATCTGGCAGAGACTCAAGACAGCTCAGAGTCGACAGAAATCTTCCGCCGATCATCATCGACGAGACATTCAGTTCGAGGTTGGCGAGCCAGCCTTTCTCAG